CTAATGAGTGCCAGGCTTACGAGCAGTCAGCCCCACATCTGGTCTGTCAGCGAGGCTGCAGGGGAGTGGGTTTTGAATACGGCATCGTGGCTGGAGAGGTGCTCCACTGCGGGAAACTGCAGTCACTGCGCCGGAGCTTTACCACCAGGAGAGGATGGGCTTGGGCTGCAGCTGTCTGCCAGCTGGGAAATGCCGATTTCTCCCCTGGAAAATGTCCTTTTCCAGCACAAATTTGGCGTGGCTGAGGCTGCAAGGAAGAGGACTTCCTCCGTAGAGAAGGCAGTTGGTGAGACAAGCTGTGTAAAGATGGAGATGTCAGTGTATCGCCAGAGGAAACACCGGGATCTGCTGTGGGCGCATCCTGCAGCCCTGAGCATCCCAGGGCCCTGAGCACCACCGCACCGTGCACGGCTGCACCCCCAGCCCTGCTCCCACCACCCACCCCAAGCCAGGGCCAGCGGGATCCCACCAGCTCCCAGCTCAGGCCCCCGCTGCGGGACTCATGGGGAACTTGTCTGCTGGGGATGGCCCCCAGAATGGAGCCAGCAGCCCCCAGGAGCTTTCCCTGCTCTGCTGCATCCTGCCTGGACACGTGTCCCCACCACGAGTCCGAACCATGCACGTCTGTCCTCTGGGGAGCCCGGACTGGTGCCGGCCATCCCCCTGACCCACTGCCCCTCTCCTTCTCCCAGGCATCTTCCTCATCCCCTACTTCATCATGCTGCTCGTCATAGGGCTGCCCCTCTTCCTGATGGAGCTGAGCCTGGGCCAGTATGGAGCCGCGGGGCCCATCACTGTCTGGAAATGCTGCCCGCTCCTGAAAGGTGGGGCTGGGGGCCGGGGGTCCCTCTCCTTCCTGCCCCCGTAGCTGCTGGGGCCGGCTGGGCTGCAGGAAGGGGTGCGGGGTGGGCACAGGGACTAGGGTAGCCCCTCGGCAAGGCCCCAGCCTGCACCCCGCGTCCCTGGGCAGGTGTCCTGCCGCCAGTCCACGGGGTGTGGGCAGGCATACTGTCGCCCCCTCGGCAGCCCCTCTCCTCCTGCAGGCGTTGGCGTTGCCATGCTGATCGTGTCCTCCCTGGTGTCCCTCTACTACAACGTCATCATCGCCTGGGCTTTCTACTACCTGGGCTCCTCCTTCCAGAGCCCCCTGCCCTGGTCCTGTGATGCCCCCAGGAACGCGGACCTCTGCCAGGTCGGTGGCCCCCGGGCTGGCAGCGTGGCAGGGTCTGGCCCTGGGGTGGGATGCTGCTGGGCCAGACCCCCCACGAGGACCGGGGAAGTGGTTTCTGTTGGGAGAAGCTTTGCCTGCAGCAGCAGAGGAGGGTCAGGCTGGGGCTGGGGCCAGGGCCAGGAGGGACATCAGGGCCGGTGGCAGTGGCGGTGATGGTGACCTGCTGGGGCCGTGTGTTGCAGAACACGTCAGGGAGCGCCGGCTGGGTCAGTGCCAGCGAGGTTTTCTGGAAGTAAGTCCCCACGTGGCACCATTGACGTGTGCCTCCCTCGGCCCTTGTCTGGGGGTCTGGCCCCGGCTCCATCTCCCCTGGTCTGGGGGGACGGGGCTGAGCCCCCGCAGGCAGCGGTCGGTGATGCCGGAGGCTTTGTGAATGGCGGAGGGGTGGGTGAGGACATTGCGGAGGTGACAAGGGTGCCCCGCGTCCCCCGGCCTGCTGACCCATGTCCCCGCACTGCAGCGAGCGGGTTCTGGGGGTAACGCACAGCTCCGGCCTCGGGGACCCTGGCCCCGTGCAGTGGCCCCTCGCCCTGTGCCTGCTGGCAGCC